AGATGTTTCTTTTTACCTATCATTTTGGGCAGAAAAAACTAAATTTTTTTGGGTGACTAACTTTTTTTAAATATATTGCTTACCTAATATTAAAAATATACAATTCATAAAAATCTTTACTCGAACTATAATTTTTTTTTTATTTCACATTTTAGGTTTGATTTTTGATTTTTGAATTTGTTTTTTTTTTTTTTTTTTTTTTAAAGTTTCATTTCTTGTTTATTGTTAGCCTACAAGAAAGAAGGAAATTAGATTTCCAATTATAATGGAAATTTCAGTTGCCGGGTTACCGTATTCTCAAATATTTACATAATCAATTACGGTCATAAATGTCAATACGGCCAAGGCAGCCAAGATCCTCCCTGATCAACGCTGTCAACTCCATCTTCTTCTTCGTTACTGTTTTTGTTATCAGAGGTTTTTGGATCTTGATGGTTTATATTAACAAACTTGAAGGATGTTTTGGATTGGACAAGTCAGCTGGTATGTCATCATACAGAGGATTTAGTGTTACATCAGCCGATTTATCCTAAGGTGAAAAAAAAATGTAAGCAAATGTCGTTGTTCACCAAGTGAATGATAAACCTTCAATTTCGGGTGTTTTGTGCTGCTCAGGATAAGCCGAAATTTTATTTAGACTACTCATATTTTCCAGGGAATCCGGAGAGGAAGGGTTGGGGGGCTCTAGCCCCCCTAATAGGTTACTATCAATATACGTCACTTCCGGTAGTAATTGAGTTTTGACGTGGAGGGGGGAGATGTGGGGGGGGTTCAACTGAAATACTCAGATTTATTACTTTTAGAACTGTGTTGACATGTTTTGACTTTAAATTTGCTAATTGAACATCAATTACCCCCATTCATTTCCAACGAAAGTCACGTGATTGATAGTGAGCAATTATTTGCCGCCATGTTGAACTACTTATTTACTGTTTATAAATAAATATAATATAAACTTAATATAAATATAATATAAACTTAATATAAATATAATATAAACTTCACAACAAACTTCAACACTTTAAGCCATCTACTATTATATATATAAGTTCCAAGTTATTCGGCTCTTCTCGGCAAATGAATCATAATAAAATACTGAACACGCCAGTTCTCTCAATTAACGAAGAACAACGAACCCAGCTGTCCAAAATTTCGAAGGCAGATAGATAGA